TCAGCGGTGTGTCGGAGCCTGTGTCACCTGCGGGAGGAGACAGCGTGAGACGGGTCACTTGGGAGCACAGGAGGGTCCCCACAGACCCAGCCTGGGCCCAGCCCCACCACCTGCAATGTTCTGGGACACTTGCAGGCCACACCCTGGCTGTGTGGCCACCAGGGTCCCCAGTGACAGCGTCAGCTGAGGCCCTGACTCTCCAGACCCTTGAGAGGGGTCTCCTTTGCCCGCCCCGGTGCAGCGCCCTGCTCTGAGACCCAGGGGTCCAAGAAAGAAGTCCCAGGTGGGACGAAGCCAGAAGGAGGCGGGAGCAGGCGGGGTCCTGCCGGAAGCTCGCTGATAGGACCGGCAGTGGAAACCCCTGAGACGCGTCCCCGTGACCGTCACTTGTGGTCCCAGAAACGTCCGGGAGAAAGCCCAGCTCGTGTACCAAGACACCCCTGTGCCTGCAAGACCAGCACGACTTCGTCCCCCTCCTAGACTGATAGTCGCGCCGCTCCGTGTTCTCAGGAGAGGAGAACAGGTGTTCCTGCCTTAGGTGGACGTGAAACCCCCGTGAGACTGCCTGCCCTGTGCCGGGGCAAGGCCTGTTTTCCCTGCCCTCCCACATGCCCAATAATCACTGGAGAGACATGTGAAATAAGCCCCAAACCCTGCCCAGGGGGGCTGAACCCCCTTCCCTGCGGAAGGCAAAGCGGGGGCAGCACCTCCTGGGAGCCAGCCAGAACACCCCTGCGGCGCCTGCGGATGGGGCCTCACCTCTTGCCCACCACCCTGGCCATACCGTCTCCCTCCTCTGCTGAGCACACAGGGCCTGCAGCAAGGATGCTGGGCAGCTGGCGGGTGGGCACCCCTCCTCCTCCCAGCCCTTGGGGACCCCTCTTTGCACCCTTCCTCTGAACTCCTCTCTGCGTGAAGGTAAAAGGGACCTGCTGCTTTCCTCTGGGACTCACTTCTGTCATATGGGCTTTTCCCAGGGCCCTGGGGCCTTAAGGGAGAAAAGCTAATGTCCCCTTCCCACGTAGCTCCGCGGACCAGTCCCCTCTGAGCTCGTGACTTAGATGCATGGGCTGGCCAAGCATTAAACACCTAGAGTAGTGATCCACTGGCAGTGCATTCTAACCCAAGCTAAAACAGCAGATCCTCTAACATCCGAGCTGGAGAAGTGGAGACTCAGCTGGTCTCCTAAGAAATGCCCAGAACAAGAGGCTTGCGGGAACAGGCTGAGCAGGAGGAAAGCAGCTGCTGGAGAAAGCACAGAAGTTCAGGTCCAGGGCCGAGAGAGGCCGGCGCCTGGGAGAGGAGCTGCGGAGAGAGCAGGCGTTAGGGCTCGGGGAGGGGCGGCCGGTTACATGTGTGTGGACTCGGGTGGGGAGCCGTGGGGCTGCTCCTGGGGGCCTTCGGCCAGCTGCAGGGAGTCCACTGACTTGCTGCTGAGGCGGAAGGGAGCCAGGCGGTGGAAGTTGCCGGGAGAGTGGGGGATCTGCACGCGGGCCCTCTGGGAGGGCACCACCGTCTCCCCGGGGGACAGCCAGGGCAGCACCCTGGACAGGATGCTCGGGTCCTCGTCCGGGGAGAACACGGGGTTGTCAATTCCTAGGAGAAAGGGCAGCGGCTGATCAGCTTCCCTGGCCCACCCAGCACACGAGGGAGGGTGCTGCCGGGGTCTGGCACCAGCGCGTCCTGTGGCCATCACCTGGAGGTCACCTGGAAGGTCAGCGTCACGTGCCTTTGGGGACTCAGGCCCTCTGCCCCAGGCTCTCCCTCCCCACACGGTGGGCAGGACAAGTGACAACCGCCCTCTCTCAGAGCAGAGCCCCCAGCCTGTCCCCTGCAGTTGCACAGCCCTAGCCCCCATCCTGCTGGCCTGTGCACTGACCAGAGGGCCAACGGCCCCTCACCTGAGGGGGAGTCCACTGTTTCATTCCTTGTGACGTTCGCCAGGAACTCGATCCCCCCACTCATCTCCTCAGTGCTGTAGTTGGGGGCCTCCTCCGGGTCAGAAAGTTCCAAGTCTGGTGGCAAAGGAGGGGCAGCACGAGGGAAGTGGGCTGGGAGCACAGACAACCCAGGTCCGGTGCCCTTGACCGACGGCCTGGATCGCTCCCAGGACGCCCTGAGGGTTGTCATCACGGCCACCCTGACAAGCAGGGCAGCAGCCTGAGGAGGACCCAGTGCTGAAGGGCAGGGTGTCCCCCACGGACAGCCCGTGACGAGCATCCCTGTGGCCCCGTCGGTACCTTTCTCCTCAATGGTGAAGTGCGCGGGGCTCTCCATGGGCAGTTTCCCGTTCGGGATGCTGCTGTTCCTCTGAGAATCAGAATGAAACCCTCACAGGCAAGGGCGCCGCGGCCACTGCACCCTGACTGCCGGCTCCCGGGACCCTGTGGGTCCCAGCCCAGGGCCCCTCCCGAGTCTCCTCATCATCGGTGAGGAGGGCTGTGGTGACCCTGCCCAGACCTGTCCCTAGGGGGTGTCCCGGTGTGTCTGTCATGTGGTCACCTCAACCCCACTCACCCCAGGTGCCCCCTCGCCCCGTGGTCCCATCTCCCCGTGGTCCCCTCATCATCCCACAGGCCCCATCACCCC